AAATCCCAAGTATCTGGATAATTTGATGCATTGCTAATACCCCTGTGACAGCTGAATCGCAGCAGCTTCCTTGGAGCTTGGTTCCACCGTCTCCTTCGCTGCTAAGCTTCCAGCCGGGACGTGAAGGTGCCGCAGAGAGGACGGGTGCCGAGGGCTCCCAGGATCCCAGGGAGAGCTCGCATGGCATTTTCCGTCTGCGATCCTTCCCAAACGCTGGCCCAGCTGTACACACAGGCTGCACCACGTACTGCCAGAAGCTAAATAATACCCAACAGCCTAACACCATCTGGCCGGGCGGTGTTTTGCAAAGAAAACCAGCAATGCATCAGTACAAAACGAAAGGTTTGCAGTAATTAAAGCCCTGCAGACTTTTGGGTTCCTTTCCAGGGCGCACACACATCGCGTCCACTTTGCCAGCCCAGACTGCAGCAGAGATCTGCACGCGTTGCACACGGGGCAGAGTACACCCAGAGAAATTCCTTTACAACAAATAGACGTAAAAGTCTAGAAGGAGCTATTATGATTATTACCATAGATTAAATAATGAATTTAGATCAACAGAAGAATGCCTAAAGATAATGTGGTTATAGAAAAAACCCTCCCATTTTCCAAAAGCAGAGCGCTCTAGGAAATCTGCAGCACAAGATGCACCGCCTGGGAGACGCAGCTTCACCGACGCAGACGAGAGCAAAGGGCCCATGAGCTGCTGGGGATGCACCGAGTTCGTCATTGCTTGAGACCTCGGCTTCAGAAGTTTATCCAGCCCATCTGCTCGAGGCAGAGGAGAAGGAACCGGCACGCACTCTGCCCCGCAGCAGAGAGACTCCCGGGGCAGCGACCGGGTTTAACTCCGACAGTCCAATGCCCTGGCAGGTCAGAAACCGATGTTTGGAAGGAAATGAATACAAATACTCAGCCTCCACGCCATGGGACGCTTGCCACAGGGCCGGGAGGAATAGAGGAGAGTGAGAGCCCTGAGGTGTAACACGCATTGAGTCGTGTGTGTGAGAAACATAAGCAAATACAGAAAAGTTGGCAAGAGAAAAAGACCCAGCCCTGTGCTCTGCATTGATTCCTCTGACTTGTGGGCTCCAGACATCGATGCCACAAACCCACTGCCTGGTGCTCAGCAGGAGAGCTCTCTGAGCAGCAATTTAAAGAGCCTTCTCATAATAAAAACACTTGTGGGAGCAGTTGCGTGGGCAGCCCTGGGGCCACGGGGCTGGCCCTGTGTGAGCTGGCTGTCCCCTCCCCGCTGCTCACTCAGCTTTTTGCTCCGAGGGTTCTCCTTCTCGCCAGCCTACGCGGCAAGAGGGACCACTGGCTCAACTTGCAAAACTCAAACGAAGAGCAACCGGTGTCATTGATGGATGCTGGGAGCTCAGCACGGGAGCTGAATGCCCGGGTTTGAGACTGACAAGTCTGCAGAAGCAACACCCAGGGCTAAGGCTTGGCTCTGCTCCCTTTATCTGCTTGTGATGGGCTTCATGCGCATCCCGGGACCCAGGTGCTACCAGCTCGCTGCACAACTGCAAGAGAAAGGGGACCATACCTCGCACGCCGCAGGTTTCCCGCGGAGCTGGTGGCCTTCTGCCTCGCTCTGCCCCGTGCTCGGGCGCCTGGCGTTTGTACACCCTGTGCGGCTGCGCCGCTCCGTCCTCCCGAAAGCTGGTGGACACCGGTTCGATGAAATAGTCCTCGTTCATGAGCCGAAACACGCCTTTCTGGCAAGGAGAGACAAAGCTGTCACAGCGAAGCCATCTGGACCTAGCACAGACCGACACTGAAGAACCTGGGAATGGGAGAGGTTGGCAAAATTTTCCAGGAAGAAACAGGTCTACTCGACAGAAGCTGCTTTTATGGATATTTTGAGCTCTAAACTCCCAGACGAAAGAGAGCAAGCCAGCATGGACTGATCATCAAGAAAGCAAAAAGCTACAGAGCTCCCATCACAAAGTGCAGCTGGGTGGTGACCCCAATGGGTGTCTGAGAGCGAGGAGCTCAGGGGCTGCAGGGACACAGAGACGGAGAAATGCCTTCTCCAGAGAACCAGAGCACGCCAGCAATACGCACATATGGTCTCGGACTGTGCTCCCACCACCTCTCCCTGACCTTCCCGGAGATGCTCGGGGGAGTCCCGGCAGACAGCCCAAGGGATGGCTTTGACCACAGTGCAGCACCCGTGTTTTGAGTAAGGGTTGCACAAGCGAAGGTGTTTTCCTAACGACATCCTCGTAAGACACAGCTAATTGCTCCTGGCCTTTTGCGCTGCCGAAGCACCACCCCTGGGAGCCATCGGGCTGCAGACTTCCCGTGGTCAAAGACCAGAAAACCTCCAGGGACGGGGAACCTGCAGCAGCACTGGATCACGGCAGGAACTCCGATCAAAGAAAGCCAGTCCCGGGACACAGAGCACGG